ATAGATAGTAGTACCGGCGCTGAACAAGCGCCCACAAGACGGCAAGTAGTTCTATCTGCTCTGTAGACCACTTACTCTCACCCGATGACAGAGCTCGACCTGGAAACTTGATGGGAAGCTCCACGCCGTGTAGTAGTAGTAGTAGTAGTAGTAGTAGTAGTAGTAGTAGTAGTAGTAGTCTGCTACTACTAGTAGTGGTAGTGGTAGTAGTAAGCAATCGATACCATCGTGGACGGTATGCTCAGTATTCGGAACACTGTGTTCCTATTTATCTAGAAAGTCTTCCTACTAGGATCGATGTCGTCGTGAAAGTTCTTCGGAATTGAGGTTGGTGTGGAGAAGTACGAGTGTTGAAATAGGTCTATTATGAGAGTCTGGTGGAGTAGTAGTAATAAAGACTTCTGCGGAATCACATAGCTGTGAAGTTGATGTGTTGAGGCACGTGAGGCTCCCGCCTACTCAGACTGTCGAACGCTGCTCGCCATCGTATAGACAAGCAAACAGAATACTTGAGTTTAATGCCTAGGGCGTGTACACGCAGCTGCAGAATTAGTGCAATACTCAATCTGTAACGTCTTCGGAGCATTTGTCCAGGGCGAGCGAGTATTCCGTGGCGATGGTGGGTTGGGTTATGAGAATATGCCAATATAGCCTTCGTAGAGCATGTAATGGTACTATTATGTGGGAGGAATGGGAGGTGTGGTATGATGAAGGTGTTTGCTACTTGTTGTTCTAGTGCATGGATACATCATCAGCTAACAGAGTTGTTGTTGAAGAGGGTGAGGGACGGTCGGATGGAGAGGTACTATTGGGAAGGTGCTCATCATGTGTAGTTATGGTAAAAGGAGATCTATATGGACTATCAATGGCGAATCTTTCCAGGCTAGGTTGCCGGGTTTAGATGCGGATTAGGCCCGCTTTCGACCACATTCTTAGAAACGTGGCCAGCTGTTTCCGGGTTCGGGTGATATTTGTGCATAAACTATGACCATTGCGGATAGAAATGGTTGGAAAAGTGGCGCAATTACAAGTCTAGAGCTTCGTCGGTAGATATGTTTCGGGTGTTGGCGCCATATTCCTTATTGTTCCACATATTTATTCTTAGTCGTTGTCGCGATATTCGTCGTTTGGTGGTGATGGAGTGAAATCTGTGTTTTGTATGTATATTGTTACATACGAGTTTGATAAGAATGCCAGGGCGAGATGGCCTATTTGGTGGACTCGTTTTTTATTCTGGAGGGGTTGCCTTTTAGATGCGACCATCCAGTGCATCGGGAGATATCGAACTCGGAGATCTTCGTCAGGAGTCGGCAACGCCGAAGTCTTCTTCAATGGTGAAAGGGAGGATCGTCCGTATTGAGATTGTGAGATTGATTTTATGACGTTGTTGTCAATTTACACGGGAGTTTGATTTGGTGGAAAAAAATTTCATTACGAATTATGTGTTATATTCGATAATTGTTAGCGAGTACATTTGCTTACCCCTTGCTGAAGGGCGGGAGAGGGGAGGATGTTATAGTAGTTAGCTTGGAAAATATTATTTGTTATACGGGATTATGCCTGATGTTTTTGTCCAGAGAGTTTTGGGGAAAATTATTGTCCGCTTTTGTTAGAAGGGGGAGGGGAGAGAATCGGTTGAGGAGGAGACAACGGCACCCCAAGAGAGAGAACAGGAACAACAAACGATATTTGAAAGAGTGTAAGTGTTAAATGAGGTGGTGAAGGAGGGCATTGTGGTTGAAGCTGTCACGGAGGAGAGTTACTGAAGTTTGTTTGGGTGTCTATGGAGTTCCGTAGAGTATCGGAATAATTTACCCCCGTTTATGTGCTACATCGTCTGGGGGAATATTGTGAATATCGGATGCGACTCGAGGGCATTCGTATGGCTGAGCATCTCTCCTGTTGGCCGTTGTTGATGGGCGTGATTGATTGGGTGGGTTTATTACGGAATATGGTATGGATGCCCGCGCTGGGGATCGAACCTGGGTCGTCATTGCCAGATATAATTTGCTCAACTTCGCAATGGGTAGAGGTAGCCCTACCACTCCAGAGGGAAGTTCTCGAGAAGAGGAAGTTAGCACTGCTTCTGATGATGATTATGATGATGATGAGGAACAGGATGGAAATGAACAGGTCCGGAGGGAGGGAGGGTCTCGTCAGTGCTATGGTTTCAATTATTGCTGAATTTGCGGGCAGGAGCTCTCAGCGGTTGTCAATATGGAATTGATCAGCTCGGATCAGTTGTTGCTATTGGCGTATCGTAATGTGTAGGATAATGCTGAATTGAAGGGAGTGTGGTATGATTCAAAATTGTGGTGGTCTGTGAGCGTTGGGTGAAATATTAGAGTGTGAGAGTGACTACAGTGATGCAGCGATTTGACGAGGTGGAATAATCTGTAAAGAATTTAATTTTGATATTTTTTGTCTTACAGGCCGATCCGAACCGAGTTGTGAAGGGTGGAGGTTGGGGACAGGGCTCGAGTGCAGTCGTGAGCAAGCAGCAAGGGGTGGTCGGAGCTGTTTTCGCCCTGGTTAAATCGTTTATCGGAATTGGTAATAACGTAGGATAGAGTGTACAGAGGTGGATTTGTACGAACCAGACTGTTTTCGCGCGGGTTAAATCGTTTATCGGAATTGGTAATAACGTAGGTTAGTGGGTAGAGAGGTGAATTGGCACGAATCCGACTGTTTTCGCGCGGGTTAAATCGTTCGGTAATACTGTGGGTTAGTTGGCAGATGGGGTGGACTTGTACGAAAGTATTTCTGAATGATTTGTTGGCTTGGCCGTTCTGGAAGCTTCCGTAGAGTAATGAGTGGGAGTAGATGCACCGAGTGGAGCGTAAGTAGTTTATGGGAAATGTGGGAGAAGTGTGGTATGAATTAATGATGTTCAAAGTTCATCTTGTTTGGAGAGGGATCGATTCTGTACGCTTCTGGACTGCTTAGGCAGGTGTATTATCATTACCATTCGCCATGATGAAAGGGGGGTATATAGGAGGTCCTGTGGGGCTGGCAGTAATAGCGATCATAGCTCACCATTGCATGCAGCTCCTATTGGAAACTAGTCGGCTGGTAAGCGGAAGGTCCTGGGTTCGATTCCTGGTAGCGGCAGGTTGTTGTGAACTCGCTGTAATATGTTACATGACTTGTATCTTTAATAGCTTGGCATTAGTCTGGGCTAGATTTGAGTCCCAACCGTCGTTTTCGATGTGAGTGGCATTGATGCTATGCTGTGTTCACGGATGAATGAATGTTCGATATGGGTGTATTTTAATCGTGAAAAGAGTGAATAGTATTTTATTATGAGTTAGCGTATCATAGAAGGACGACTTGGGGGAATTTAAATTGATTTAGTACTAAATTGGGCAGTTTTTGGTTACGTTCACATGATAGTTGTTGTGTAGGTTGCCGTAGCGCAGGAGAGCTCAGCGGTGGGAAAAGCTGCGGCGAGTCAGAGATTGTCGTTTGGAATGCTCGGAAAACATGTGGGTTTGTTTGATAGTGTTGAAGGATTCCTGTGCATCATCGCTCCGCTGTGTTTTTGATGATCAGGTTATCGGAAAGTGGGGGAAAGTTGTTGTTGATTATTCCCTTCTGGCGTCACAGATGGGCTTTTGTGTTGCGTATATAATATTTATAGCCGCTAACCTTTCGGACGTTATCAAGCACGAGACGGGAAGCGATTATGTGTCACAACGAGTGTTGGCCATTTGTAGGTTTGGGTAGAAGGAATGGTTGTTTTTGGTGTTCTCATTAAAGAGAGCATAAAATTCTGGGTGTCGACGTGCAAAGGGCCGTGATATCATGAATTTTTATAGCCAGGAATTAGAGCATTAGAAAGCCGTTTTCCAGTTTTACATAAATTATGGGGGTAGGGTCCTATTAATGTCGATCAGGCACCTATGTGTGCATCGCTCCGCTAGACTCCACTATATTCATAAATGTTTTGTGGTGGTGTTTTCTGTGATATCCGATGAGGTGATTTTGGAATTGATTCCTACGCTGAAGTACAGTTTCGGAATTACTCCTCAATATTGTATCTCTCTTACGATATGTTTGCCTCGTTGAAGAATAGTGAATAATCGTCCTTGATGAGTGTGTGCTTATTTACGCGTTTGGGCCGTTTTTACTCGAGTAAAAACGTCTGAGTCAGGTTGCGTGTTGCTGCTGATACCAATAGCGTGGTTGAAGAACCTGAAAGCATTGAAGATTCCAACGTTGATGGCGAATTTAGCGCTCATTGTAAGCCTTAATTTTGTCACTGCGCCACGAAATTCGAGTGACGCTTCTGTCCTTGGCGTCAGGCTGGGATCTTGTGGGTCTTCTATTGCGCGGTTGTGCATTTGCCTTATACCGAATTCTCGGAGCTTCACGTCGTCAATTTGTACGAGTAAGTGATTGGGACGATGACGTGGGTGAAAAATTTCCACTTGCGGATTTTTTCGCCCACTTTCGGCTTAGCCGTTTTTATCAACGTTTCATGCGAGACATACAGTATCACGTTCCTGACAATGTTACTATGGTGTGGTATGTGGAAATGATTGTGTACTGCGAGCGTCACGCGCCACAAAATTATGTCTCGTTATCAAGGTACCCTGTTTTCTTCGGTCTAGCGGTGTTCTCTTTCGAAGGCATAGGATTGGTGCTCCCCATACAGCAGAGTATGAAGGAGCCTGAGAAACTACCACACCTTCTCAAGATCATCATGATTTGTATCACTAGTAAGATTGGGAATCTTGCAATCTTGCATTTCCTCAACGCCGTTTGGTCAGGTGGGTTCATAGTATTTGGCGTTACCTGTTACATATCCTATGGCCCTGATACCAAGTCGATGATCACTTTCAACCTCCCTGTACATAAACTCACTTCTGTAAGTACCTTTTTTCTGCAGTTTTGTGCGGAAATTTCCCATAATTTTAATGGGAAATTTGATGCATAATTTGCAGTGAAAACGGCAATGATTAGAGACGATCTCTTTTGATGAATTCCTTTGCGAAAAAGGATGTTGCTGTGGCCATGGGTTAATTGGGAAAATGAGTTTTTTCCCGGAAAATTATAATATTTTTTGTTTTCTCTTTTCAGTTCCTGCGCCTATTCTACTGTGTGGGTATATTTTTCACGTATCCTATCATGATGTTCCCGGTGTTCCAATTGATAGAGCACAAGTGGCAGGGGTTCTTCGCCTCCCAGGAGGATGCTGGTCGTCGCCATCAGATGGTCTTCCGAGCATGCTTGGTCCTCACTACGGGGGTTATTGCTCTGATGGGAATGAACGTGCCCAACTTTGGCCTCTATCTCTCTCTGATTGGGAGTGTCTGTTGTAAGTGGTGAAGGAGGTCCCGAGTTCGATTCCTGGTGGGAGTATATGGAAAATAGTTGCTTATCTGGTTCGCGACATCAATCGGTTGATGAATAACTTCTGGGCGCGCGAGATTTCATTGCGTAGGTACACTGCTGGCGTTCATTCTACCGGCGTTATTCCATCTTAATCGACCAGGGAAGAGAATGGAAAATGATGAAGGGCGAATTCGGGCAGATCGAGTCGATAAAATCATCATCGCTTTCGGAGTTCTCGCGGGGCTGGTCAGTTTCTCATTCACACTGAGAAGTTTCTTTACAGAAGAGCAAGAGGCCACAGCCAAGGTTGCGGCGTGAAAGATACCAAAATACGCACAGGGAATTTTTTATCTGCTTGATTGTATCATCTTCTCAAAGTTTGTTCGTAGTATTCCCAATGGACATGTTGAGTTATCAGTTGGGAAGGGAATGATGATAATTTCGTGACGCGCGAATGTTGTCAACATCATCGATACCGAATGTACCAACATCCCTCGGCCGAGGGTGTTTGCTGGTTCTATGGAGTGTTTGAGTAAATTTGAGGCGAATGAGACGGGAATAATTATTAGATTGAAAAGAAGATATGTTACAGCTGAGAGAGTGTTCGGTCATGAGTCCTGCAGCTTTGTGGACGTCCGATACACTTCTTTCTCTAGTCTAGGCATTCGTGATTTGGATTGGTTTCTAGCATGCAAACTCTATGTACTGCGGCCTCTCCTGGTTTTGCAATGTTCATGCTGTAGTGCTTGAGAAGAAAGTGTTGATGGACTTCGGAGCGACTCAAAAGCGAGCGACTAAAAACTGACAAGGGTGGAACCAGGAGATAGAATGGGGTGGGTAATTATGCAAGACTTGTACATGGTATAGGTTGAGCCCATTAGAAAAGCGATCTCGGTGGGACTCGAACCCACAATCTTTGGTTCCGAAGACCAACGCCTTATCCATTAGGCCACGAGACCATATATTGCATTGTCTCGGCGCACCGTATTGGAGAATCCAATATGCAAATTCCCTTAGGGTCTCAGACATAGTCGAATCCTCGATTTATTGTAGTCAAACGTGACGGGCCCTGATTCAGGGCCGCTGTGAATTAAACAGTGACGAAATCTGTTTGCTATGGATCTGGCTCTCCTGGGCGAGCGAGAAATACATCGGATGTTCGAACCCCCTCCGATGAAAGAGTTGAGTAGTTGATTGAGTCGCCATTGACTAGTCATTTTAGTGTTGTAATATTGATTGTATTGGTAATGGTGTATACCTTCACGTCTGATCAAGTCCTGCAGGCAATAGTGACGGCTATTGCATGTGCCTTGGCCGGCATCCCTGCGATGTTCCCGATTTCACATAAATACATTCAATTCTACATGGTAGGCACTCTACAACCGTCATCGTTGATTGATGATATCTCCTCAGCTCGAGCCTCCCATTTGGGCCGGTTTCAACTCTATACTTGATTTCAAGTCCTGTTTGTTGTTCTTTCTGCGAGGCGTGGTTGGCACTTGGCTTGCCACCGCCATGGGTTGTCTCCTCCACCTGATACTATCTTCTATTTGTGCCGCTTGCGGCATTGAGTACTTCCAAATTTGGGCTATGGTCATCGCCCTTCCCCTGACGTACTTCGTCGCATTATCTCATCCCGATGCAGGATGTAAACTATCGGAAATCATCAGCTATGTCACGGCGATTATATCCCTCTATGTTCCCATTGCCATCAACATCACTGGGCATCCCTATCTAGAGGCTCTCTGGAACGCCATATTGGTTTCCTATGGTCTCCTATGTGGGTTCATTCCCGTATTGGTCCTCTATCTCCTCGATTGGCTACCGTCACCATCAGCAAATCCCCTTCAGAAATTCAACTCCGCCACAGCCGACTACTTCGACGTCCTCAGTGCCTACGTTGTGAGCGGCGCCGAGAACCTGTACACCATAGATGCTCATCATATGAGCTATGACAAGTCGCTAGTGGCTGCCAGCGCCTATGTAAAGGACGACAAGTTGAGGAGCATCATCTGGCGTATGGCAAGCGCGTTGTATTCGTTGAGAAAATCTATCACGGCGGGCACTTACGATGACGTTATCGTTGAAGCACTATGGAGGCCAATGTCGGCGAGCTTACTAGAATTACGATCTCAGAACCGTGCGGTACTCCGAGCAGCTTCGGGTAACGTCCCAACAGCTGGGGATGTGCCGAATCTTATGTCAACTGCGGTAAGATGCAAAGAGAGTCTGAATGAGGCTTCGATGGTGATGCGGAAGTCCATCAAGATGGGCACAGTGAAGGCGTTGGACACGGAGGGGATCACTAGGTTCCACTTCGCGATAGAGTCAATCTTGAGATACGCTGAGCTGGCAGAAGAGTATTCATCGGTGACGGCTCAGCTGAGGGGACGTGGAGTGGACCAGGACGAGGGAGAGGTGATTCGGGTGGAGCGTAGATGAGGCGGATGAAACTTTGGGAAATTCTCGTTGGTTTCTGTATGTGAACTTGTAGAGTAAGTGAGGACACTCCTGAGCTCAGCTGAGGAAAGCGAACATATATTCCCCTAACAACACTGACAGTAAAAAATCGTAATGTGGTGTGATCGTCAGAACAATGACAATATCAGAAAATTTTCCTGTCCTTACATACCGTATTAGGTTCGTTGGTGGGTCGCCTTGTGCACAGCTACGAAGGAGTTGACGTCCTGGGCCAAAGGCTGGTGGTCTCGTCCAGTTTTCTATGATGATGGTCAGTCGCGGGCAGAGCATCTCCTATTCCCTCTGAAGGCATCCCTAGCTACAACTATCGCCATCATAGTACTCTTCCCATGGGGTAATAGTAACGCGAGTGTCAATCGTAAGTTTCTGTGGATCTACTTGGCAGCATGCTACTGTGTTCTGCCAGTAGCAGGAGCGTGCCTGTTGAAGATTGGTAGAAGTCTTGTCGGCCTCGTTGGTGCTCTCCTGTACGGCCTCATATGTGTAGAGGCGAATCCGTTCAACCACGCGGCGTTCTTTCTGGAGCTCATCATATTGGGTTTTGTCGGAGGCTTTGTCAAGGCGACGCCGTTGAGTTATGCTGGCTCGGTGTTTATACTCACGTGGACGATTGTTGCCTTTACCCCATCGGTGGCCTTGGGGGAAGCTGAGGGGGACATCCTATGGGGTTTGGGGTGGCGATGTGCCCTCAACTTAGTCGGTATGGGAATCGCCTTTGTATTCTCCTGCGTTTTCTTCCCTGTATACGCCATCTCGAGACTACAACACGTGTCGGCCTCAGCATTGGAATGTGCTGGTAACAGCATTCAGGATGCCCTTGATCAGTTGGCCAGTGTTGGCTTGGCAGTAGAGGAAGAGGTTGCCTTGGAAGACGGCCGGGAGGAGGTCGGCCGAGAGTTGTCGGGCATCTCGAATCGTCGTGCGTCGCTGGTAGGTGATGCCCATGCGGAGGTGTCTGTGTTTGGCAAGCTCTTCATGAGGGTCGCTTGTACGAAGTGCTTTCAAGTTCAACCATTCATAAGCGAAATAACGACCGCGGCCTTGAGCGCTTATGGAGCAACGACGGCATGTGCGCTGAAGGAGAGCTCATCATCTCAGGGGTCGTTGAAGGCCTTGGGTCCTCATCTCAAAGAGCTTAGTATTGCTCTTGGAAGATCTGAAGAAAGGATGGTAACGGGCATGTCCATTGCCTGTCGAGACGCTACACGGGGAGCATTAAATGATGATGTTCATGTGGAGATGTTACGCTGTCTTGATGCTCTTGATGAGAGTAGAAGCTCCTTAGATGGAGATGATGATGACGGGGCTAGCAGTCTTTCTTATGCTCTCTATTCCCTCTATCTGTTCATCGAGGAATGGGAGTACATCGAGACGTTCTTGTTTGGTCACGACGAGAGCTCGATGAGGGTGGTTGAGCTACACACTAGAGGTGTACCCGATTTGTCGCCGAATTCGGTGGGAGATGTCGAGACTTGCGACGCTTTCCATGTGTGATTGGCAGTTCATTCGCCATCACAGGTTTATACCGAGGTGGTGGTGACGATCAGAAAATCTGATTGTCTTATTGTTCTTTTCGGAACCCTTGGTCGGTTGCTAACCTTAAACGTGTTCTGTTTGTGCCATTACAAGAGTTGCGTTATTGAGTTCATCAACCTTCCCGGCTATTATAACCGATGTCGACCGCGAAATTGAATATCCATACTCGATGGCACGTGGGTCTGGAAACAAGCGGAGGTTTAAGACTTCAGCCTTGGGCTCTGCTTTTCATGAAGAACTGCGCTTGCTGAACTGTGACTGTAGCATTTGTAGAGTTACAAGAGCTTTCCCCTGAAAGTCCCATTTCAGTTACAGTGCGGAAAGTGTCAGTTCTTGTGCCGGGTGTGGTGGGATGGGTTGAAGAAAGCGCTGAATAATGCTATCCATGCCTATGATTATCACGGGGGTTCACAGGCAGTTATCTTCGAGATGAGTAGTGCAAACGCACGCACATTGTGTCGAACATGGCGGGTGAGGTGAAGACGGAGCGACGTGCCACTCGTCTCCGGACTTCAACCTAGAATAACGTGATATGATGATGTGATAATGATAGACTATCACAGCGGCAGGAATTCTATCTCGAACACTTATCACATGAAGATTACTCAGTTAATCACGATGATGCTCTCAAGGTCTCTCCGAATGAATACAGCGCGTATAGTACGTTCATAGTCGTCTCATTGAAAGGAAATACCGGCATCTCAGTGATGGGCTTGGCTCGATTGTGCAGCAATGAAAGTATCATTCAGTACTTATGAGGGTACACCCTCTATTATGAGTCATAAGGAAGGGTAATCGCCCAATACGGCGACGAGTATAGTATTGGCTACAATTATGCGAGGTGTGACACGTGAGTGTCACCAACTAAGATAAGTGGCATTGATCGTGTTTTACAACCACTCTGACTAGTAACACAAGAGCTTGGATTCAGTAAGGAAGAAACTATTAACAGTATAATCACGCCACCAACTTGTGCCATCATCTACTTATTGTTTCTTCTTATCATCAATGCCACCCTTCTTGTAATCCTTTACCCTCTTCTTGGCAGCCTCTGCCTCAGCCCTCTCCTTATCATGCTTCTCTTGACGGAGCTGTACCATACAACCAATCATTCACTGTGAAGACCGAAGGATCGACTCACTCGATCTTTCTCCTTATCAGCTAAGCGTTCAGCATCGGTCTGAATGTGGCCAAGTAAAAAGGAGTGCATCCCGGCACCAATGAAGCCTCCCAGGAATTGCCAGAAGAGCCGACTTCCTAGTAGGTCTGAGCATCAACAACAACAGCATGAAACGGAGGGAACTCCCATGGCGACTCACTAGCATAAGCCTGGTGGTTGTCAGATAGCAGCCCTTGAACGCTGGAGCCGACCAACTCGGAAACGGTTGGGATGACTCGACTGTCTTGAATGCAACCAAAGTATATGAGACCTGGCAAGGACCGTCCGGACCAACGATCGTGTGCCTGGCTCTAACCTCCAACGATGATGGATTTATGCGGTACTCTTCCCGCGATGGCAAAGGCGATTAGTGCTGATGTGATGGCCTCTAGCGTAACTCCATCAGCTGTTGGGATCTGATAGATTGCGATGCACACGATCGTTCCAGAGGCAGTGCCTAGATGACCTTACCACTGCCACAGCAGGCACGCCAGTCGTTTTCGAGAGGAGCCCAGCCACAGCACCTCCGATGAGCGTTGAAGCGAACGCTATTGGGAAGGCACACGGCAAGTGACCAGCCGAGAGGTCTGAGGCAAAGCAGCTGATGATTATGATGTAAACGCGAGGAGTTCACCAGCAACGGTAACTGCAACACGGCTGGGCAGCGCCTCGTACAACACGGCGGCTGCGAGGGCCCCTTTAGTGGGAGTTGCCAGAGAGATGGTGCCCACTACAAAACTGCTCAACAGCATACCTGAGGGATAGTCATCAATCAGAGTGGCGCACGCAGGGGGGGAATGCACTCACCCAAGCCGACGTTCCTCGAGCTCAATAGATATGCTGCAGCCAAAGCCACGGACAACAGGAGCAGTCCTGATGCCCACAGAGCGTCACTAAATACCATACCACCAGGAGCTGCCTCCAACGATGTGAACATACCCGACCTAAGGCCGGCCCACTGCACTGTGAGACGGCTCACGATGATGTTTAACTGAATGGGCGATGAAACACGATGGAGTATTCACAGAGACATACTGTGAGGGGCTGTAGCAGAATAGATAAGGAGCTCCCATAAGGTGCCTGGCCTGGCAGGGTCGCTACTGCTGTCGACAACAACACCGGGATGAAGGAGCCGGACTGAGGAGGTGACAGTCGAATACTAGGGGGAGGAAGGAGGGCCCTACCAGCATTGGTGCCGTAGCATGAGTGCTATACATGAAGAGATAGTGCATCGCTCCGCCGAAAACTGATCCCACGAGTTGCATTATCATAATCAACGTCGCTTGGGAGTGGCGGAACTCTCCGGTGAGCATCCTACGGAAGATTATGGCACCGAAAAGAACGAATCACTATTGACAGTTCCGACTCGCATTCACAGAAAGTTTCACAAATTTTTCCGAATTTTATATTTTTTTCGAGGAGGTTTTCAGAAAAGTCATATCGAACACTTCGTGATATAGAAAACGATCAAGGATATTTCATTGGTTTCTGCAGACAAGAATGTTCCCAAAGATTCCCGGAACATTCTCGACTACATAGCAGAATAACAATTCATTTCGACTCCTACTACTACAGGAGGTGAAAGTGGCATGCCTCCCCTCATCAGTGGGGTGATAATTCACATTTAGTGACAATATGGAAATTCCACCTGCCAGGCCCAGCTGCCTCTTATACTTGCGTTTATAATGAAAGAGAACTGATGCTTACCCGAGCATTGTGGTAAAGGTGTTGCCAGTAACCTTCTGTCGCAATGCATAGGTGAGCAGGCACGGTATCAGAGCCACTAGACGTACCTATACAGCACCACAGATGGGTGGTCTTAACGCGAGGTGGAAGAAGTGTGGTATGACATCATCGAAAGTAGTAGCGGCAAAGCCGATGAGCATCGAAGCCGCGGCCTCAGCGACCAACTGGGGCTTCCACGCCTTGGCTAAGTGGTAAAAGCGAAACTTGGAGAAAATCTCATCAGCGTTGGCGTACCTAAGGCACCCGTGAGGACCAGAAGACAACCACTTGCCCGTACAGCATAAATGACAGCACGAAGAGTGCGAGCAGCCAGTCTCTCGAGGTCTTCATTTTGGAATACAACATAAGTCCGAAAACTCCGCCCCACGATAAGCACGACAGAACTTGAATAGTGAATGACGCTGACCACATGAGGAGGAGGAGAAAGGAAAAGTCAACTACTACAATGATTAGATTCACCGATAAGGAACTAAAACGACGACTCTCGGTAGCCGACATCAACTGTGACGATGTTGACAGTGAAGATATGCATGTGTTGGTGACAATATAGAAATTTTGGGAAATTCTCATTGGGCCTGTACATTTCTACCCGAATTCGTATGTAAACTTCTATAATTACCGAGGAAACTCCCGAGCTCAGCTGATGAGGAAAGCGAACATATATTCCTACTCCAACAGTTAATGCTGTTAACACGAGCCGCTAGCGGCATAGAGCTGAGAGGGATCGACAGCATAAAACAAGTGGTCGATTTGGTCCATTCAGTTGAGGGTATGTGCTTATAGGAGAAACGATATCCATACCACTCCAGAAGTTAGAATACCAGCAAGAGCAGAGGAAGACTCTTATTTGAAAGGAGTATCGTCATTGGAGTCGAGTTTCTGAAAAGCTGATAGACACCATATGATATCGTCAGTATCATAGACTCGATACTCCACTTGGATCTGAAACGCACAGGTTCAACCCCGGCACCCGTTTCCTCCTTAGGACTGCTGCTCGTGTCAGTCGAGGCATCATCAATCTTCTCTTTCGTGAAGACCCTCATGAGGACTCCCTCCAAATTCGCCGCTGCTACCACCATGCCCCTCCCCGACTCAGCCAAAGCACACGAGCCCGTCGGAGTCTTTTTCTCGAAATCATCATCATCGGAATATCGCTGCTCCAACGACGAGAGCGGGCGAATCTCCATGTGCAAGAAAACAACCTGTCCTGCATCTCGCCAAACCGATGCAACGATACACCCGTGATGAGTGTGGAAACGTTAATGTGCTCTCTCTCGATACGTATAGGAACAACGACAACTACTACTAACTGCGCCCTCCTGATCTCTTCTTCTCCATACCTTTCTTGATCCGCGCTAGTTGACGTTTGGTCTCAGAGTTAGGCAGTTCCTCAATATTGTAGTACCCCGGTGCCAACTCCAGCAGCCACTCCCCTTTTATCTGACATCAATGCACTGCTCATCCTTCTACTATTACACAGGCTCGAGACTCGCAACAGCTTCGCTCCGCCGTCGTTGTTTTTCCGATTATTACCGTCATAACAGTCCTGATGTAGTTCTTAGCCGTCAATACCAACTCATGGTAGAGTACCCATTCCGGTTTGTGCTGAATGACAGTAGAAGGATGTAGCATCACCTGAGAAAATACGGAAAAATGTCCCATCCAGGGATCGAACCCGAGACCTCCTATTACAACTTGATGCTCTCGAGTAGTGAGATATACCCCAGCCTTCTGCAGGTGAGCCACTTGCATGAAGAACCCCGACAGTATACATTTCCTCACATTATTTGTGAAACTGTAAATAGTGACCATTCACGAAAGCCAACAGATTTGTACTACTCTGGATGGTTTCTCGCCAGACTCGGAGTATTCAGCCCAACTCGATCCGTCAGCCTCTTCAGCTGAGCTCGGACATTCTCCGCTGACTTCATAGTACGATACTGAGGAGCATGATAATTTCATGGCGCGTGACGGTGGCGATGTGTTACATTGATGTAGTTGTCCCAACACCATTGGGACATTGCTTTCTCAACGCCATTGCACTGCACCTTATACGCCATATAAGCATCATATCTAACGTCACCAATAAGTAAACCCACATTTCCATACCACTCCTTTCCCTACGCCTGCATCAGAGTGAGATGATCGCCATCCATATGAACGAACTTCTGCTTAGCCGCATCGGCCTCCTGCTGGGCCTCCTTCGGTCGCAGGAAGCACTGTGGTACCGAGAGCATCGCTATGATAGTTATCGCCTCCTCAGTACAGTGGAACCTGATTTCAACGAATTACGGTATGACACAGACCAACAACGCACTACCGGCCACTTCGTAATAATACGGCAGCCATCTGAGGCTCCACAGGGAAGTCGGCCATAGTCCTGCCGAATTCAGTGAGGTCTCCCTCCTCATCGAGGGCCCCTAGGTATACGAGGGTCTCCAAGGCTCGCATCATGGTCTCGGGGGCTGGGGGGTCCATGAAGTCGAAGTGCACCTGGGGAGGCCGCAGGTTCGATTCTTGGCGCCGACATATTTCTCGCTTACAAGATCGTCGATCCCGAGCTTCTTCAACGTCAAAACGACAGATGAGAGGTTCGAACGCAGGATCTCGGGGAAGGTCGAAGGCTGCAGATCTCCGTAACTATTATACCAAATCTTCCACATTCTTCTACCCCCTTCTAAATCCACCTACGCATTCTCCGTATACAGACGGAAGCATTTGCCTGGTCGGGTACGACCAGCCCGACCCGCCCTCTGCTGAGCCGAGGCCTGTGAGATCGGCGACACCAACAAGGACTCCATCCTGGTGCGGGGGTTGAACACTTTCTAAAACAGCGGTGTCTCAGTACAGTCTTAGTGCTGTAAGACTGTACACAGTCTTACACAGTGTAACAGACCGAGAACTCACCTGTTTAGAGAATCCCGGGTCAACGACATAGACAATACCATCTATAGTGATGGATGTTTCCGCCACGTTAGTGGCCACAACCACCTTCCGGCCGGGCGGACCTCCTTCGTATCTCGGTGGTGGAGCCTCCTCAAAGATCTTCTGTTGTTGTCGAGGAGGTAGACTAGAGTAGAGCGGGACCACTAGGAGCTCGCCGTGTTCCCTCATAGTTCGCATGGAAGCTGTACGAAGCTGCTTACAGGCGTTCTCAATTTCCTGAAAATCAAAAAACACCCCCTCTAAGAATCGAACCCACAGCCTGTATATGACGAGCACTAAAACCTACCGCTACACTAATTTCACCACTCCTATTACCTCTTCTCCTGTGAGGAACAGTAGTATATCACCACTTCCAGCCGGCTCTTCCGTATGTATATACACTACAGTTTGGACGGCCGACTCGAAATAGTCCTTCTGCGACTCGGGAGAATAAAAGATCTCAACAGGATAGGTTCGGCCGGGGACCTGAGTCACACTCCTCCTCGACGAGTTAGGAAAGGAGTGGTATTACCTTCAACAGCGGAGCGTTGTAGAAGTACTTGCCGAAAGCCTCTGCCTCCAAAGTAGCACTCATCACTACTACTTTCAAGTCGGGCCGATTGGGAAGAATCTACTATTAAGATGCACCATGGGGAGGATCGAACCCGGGACCTACCTCCTTGAGCAGTCCGAAGAGCACATCAGTAGCTAGTGTCCTTTCATGCGCCTCATCCAGCATTATAACATTATAGCGACTGAGCTTGTTATCTAACTGTGCCTCTCGTAGGAGCATACCATCTGTCATATACTTCAGCATTGTATTAGGACCCGTCTGGTCCTCAAACCTAAACACACTCACATCACTATTACTGTCATCATCGACCGCTCTCACCTGATAGTAAAACCGACCTGTTCCCCTAGGGTGACGTCCATCTCTTGGGCGACACGCTGAGCGACACTCATAGCCGCGACCCGTCGAGGTTGAGTGCATGCAATCTGATGATCAATACCACCACAGCTCGTCCCACTCATTTTACCATTTTTCCATCAGAAGCGTACCCCGCCTCCAACAGGAACTGCGGCATCTGCGTAGTCTTGCCAGAGCCCGTCTCTCCCACAAGTAGCGTCACTTGCGATTTCTTCACCAATTTCAGGAAGTCGACTTTCTCCCGCCAGCAAGGCAGCTGTTGCCTCTTCTCGAGGATCTCATAGTACCGTTTCGAATAGGGCGCTCCCGTCAAAGGATTGGTCCCCTCGGGAACGTCCACGACGGCGGCCTCAGGGTCTGCCGGACGATCCCAGTTAGAGGACCTCTTCCCACTGCCTGAGTCGACAGCGGCGCCTCCAGTTTGATCGTAGCCTCGCTTCAAGTCTACACGGGTGCGCATGAGGTTAAGGAGAACGATAAAGAGGAGAAGCTGTGGAGAAACGACATAGCTCGACACAACGGGCGAGAACTATTCTCTGCCGGATGCTTCTAAGCAGCGTCGCGGCTTTGACTCTCATGAATTCAAATGAACTATTTCCGAATACAGAAATATGTCTGTGCCTGTCCCATCTACTGAGGAGGCCTTCGAATAGGCCTATGATATCTATGATTGTTACGTCGCGCCGCCCCAGGATGAAGTCGCACAGTACTATACGACCTTATGCCTGTGGTTTACCTGCCATCCGAAGCCGACAAGTTTTACGGCTTGTGAGGGCCTCCCGCAAGCCGATAACACTACCGTCCTGTCATACCTCAACGAGCAGAATCCCAAGCAGAAGTACAAAAAATTAAAGAAGAATCTCGCTCGCCCTGGATTTCGACAAAGAAATTTTTTTGACAAACTTGGATTCTCACTGTCAAACTTGGTTGTTACAAAATAGACAAGTGATAAACTTGGATTCTAATTGTCAATCTTGATTGTAAGAAACTTAGATTGTGACAAGATTGATTTCTCAAAGTCAAACTTGCTTGTAGCATTGTCATTCTCGTCTGCTCACTTGTCAATTTTGCAGGGGAGAAGGTGTAGATGCGGCATGGATACATCTTCAAGATTGTATATGAGAGAGGATCTATGATTGTGTCGCAGTATAGGAACTAGATGGGATGGTTCGCATGCCATGTAATCCGTAGCCATCTGGCTCAAGTATTGTATTTTTGCTCCGCATCACGTCTAGTCGTGTTGAAGTACAGCTGAAGGACCCTAGGATGGCCGAACACAACGACGGTGTCCAGCGGAGCGGTGCACTCCATGATACGCTATAATAATTGAGACTTGTCATCCATCTACAACCTAGGACTGCCGAGAGGTCTCCGTGAGGTTGCCCGGGAGAGGTTCAGACAAGACGCGAACGCTGGCAAGAAGCACGAAGATGTGATCCGCATATTACGAGAATGCGAGGATTTCTCTGTCCAGAACTCTTTACTGAAGGAGGACGCTGCCGACCATGGAGGTAACGTCGTCTTCGGGGTGAAATTGCCCCCCGAACCAATACCTATTAGGTCCGCTTATCGAAATATTTCGGAGGCTGTTCGCTCCTCTAGCATGACTCGGCCGTCTGCAGGACTCATTGAGTCCTGCCTTG